CGTGGCTTCCGCAGGGTTCCGTGCTCGGCCCGCTGCCGCTCATCGTTGCCGCGAACAGCCCCCGGTGAGGAGCTGGTGAGCATCCCCAACCTTGAACTTGCTTTCTCCACTGATGACCTGACCGCCATTACTCGCATCACCGAGAGAGCGAGAGGCGCTATGGAGTGCACGTTACGGAAGGAGTTGGGCAGCGCCAAGATGGGCAGAGCGGAACAAATACGAAGCCCAGCGCCGCGAAGACAAAGTGCGCGCTGTTTTGGCACCGCCCTCACGGACAGCAGGGAACTGCACGCGGGAGAGGCCCGCTTGTCGCAGGATTGCCTCCCGCGGTTGTTGGGGCGGTTTTGATCCAGTCATTGCGCGGGGTTGGCCGGCAGGCGCGGGGATCCCTTACCTCCGCAAGGAAACAAGACTTATGAAGATCAAGGCGGTGTCTGTGAGAACGCGGAGGACGAAATGCGAGAGGCTTCGTCCGCCGCCCAAGACCCTCACTGGTGGGTCCCCCAACTCCTCTACGGGCAGTGGCGCGCTGCAACACGGCTTCGCTGTCGGCGCTGGAGCGCCTGGAGAAGTCCCACACCCGCGCCGCCGGCGTCATCGCTGGCGTTCCCGTCGGGGCCTCTCGGGCAGCTGCTGAAGCGAGGCTCGCCTTCTCTCGTTGGAGGGCTTTGCGTCGATGCGGGGTATCCAGTGCTATCTGCAGTAGTGCGTGCGCAGTGGCGAGGTAGAGCGCCACGCCGAGGCTCTTTTCCTGCCTTCCAACCCGACACACTCAGCCCTCCGCCTGATGGCGGGTAAGTTGCACGAGCATAGGTGCTTTTGGCCCGCCCCATTGCCGCGGAGCCCCTCGATGCCGCCAACGCGCGTATGTACCTTGGCACGTCGCCGCCGGCTGGATTGGGCGCCGGTGCCGATCCGGAGGAGAGATACAAGGGATGCATGCTGCTGGCGAAGTCGAAGGCGCATGCCCTCCTCTACACACTCAATGGGCGGACGGCTCCGTAGAGCTCGGAGTGGGGACTGGCTGCGCCGCCCGCTTAACTTAGCGCCAAGCACGCGTCCGTGCAGTATGAATTGTGGCGGCGGCTCGCTGGCGCGCGGCCGCCGAGCGGAGTGCCAGGCCACGGAACAGAGCCCCGCTGAGCTCCTGCTGTGCGTTCTGAAAACGTCCGGCAGGCGAGTGGCAGGCGTGTTCACCGACTTTCTGTCTCTTCTGAGCGCGCTTGAAACGGGCCCGACCCGAGCCACGGACGGGGTGCTCCGCCGCATTTGGAGCGTCATTGCCGGCCCGCTCCGTCGTGGCGCGTGCGCCTGCGGTTTAACTTTATTTTTTGGGCGCGCCGGCGCCCCTCACACACACAACGAGGCGGCTGATGAACTTGCGAAAGCAGCGCTGGGGAAAGTTCAGGGCGCACCCGCGCGGATGGCGGACATCCGCACCGCCACCCGCCGCCGCCACGTACAGAAAAAACTGAGGGGGCCGTCATTATCCCCGCAGGACCCGACAGCCAGCGCCGGCGCCTCTTCGTGGATGGCGCGAGTCCGCAAACAGCCCCGCTGACGCGTGCAGGGGAGTTGATTCTGGCGCGGTGTTGCGCGGGCGCCTCGCCTCACTTGGTGGGCCGCGCCGCATCGCCACGCAGCCAACAGCCTCCCCAAAAAATGTCGATGGTGTCGGCCGCCCCGAGCGTAGAGGACCCCCTCCTCGGGGAAACCCCCCCGCACACGCACACGCCGGCCGTTCCACTGGCAGTCACAGCGTGCCAGGCACTGTTTTGCCCGGTCTGCCTCAAGGCCTGCGAGCCAGGCGCCCACCCGCGCGATAACACGCATTGCGATTAGTCACCGTGGCCTCGGCGAGGCGCGGGCCCTAAGGGCGGCTAAAGGAGCCCTGGCGGACGCCCCGGAGGGGCACGCAAGCGTCTGCGCGAAATGCGGCTTCACGACAACTGGTGGAGAGGCGCTTCGGGTGCGCACGTGGCGACGAAGCACGCGATAGGCCCGCCCCCCGAGTGTGAGTGCGGTGCGCGAGGCCCGCACCGCACCGCGCGCGAGAACCCCGGCGCCTCCTCCACAACCCCGGCCGCCGCCGCGAGAGCGCGTCCATCAGCGCGCCCTCGGCCTTGGCTGCCCCGCTTGTGGCAGCGCTGCCGCGCGCGGTTCCNCTTCATTGGCGCAGGCCCNCTGCTGCNGCCACGCGCCCTGA